TCTACCTTTCACCTCTTCTGGATTATATCCTAGTCTCTGCTCAGCAGTCTACTTGTTTCTGAGTAGGGCTAGTTCCACTTGCTCTCCATCTTCTTTCTTCTGGCCCAAATGTTATGGACCTCAACCTGTCTTTTCCCCATCATTCTTCAGTCCCTTTTTCATTCCTCAGGCACCGCTTCCCAGTTTGTTTCCCTGAAGGATTGGTCCTCTCCCTTTATGTCTGAGTTTGAGAGCTGCCTCTTCTGTATTGGTTGGACTTAGTATAGAGAGTATTGAAACAGCAGCAAAGACCCCTGGCCTTAGTTCAGGTTTTTAGACTCAGATTTGGCATTAAGCTGCAATTGAAGAGAAAGACCTTCTCAGGCCCCTGGAGCATGTCCATGGCAGGCAGAAAAGTTGGGAATTACAGCAGCTGAGGTCCAGGAAGTACTGGCTGTGCACAAACCACAAGGCTTGCAAGTTGGACATTTTTGAGTGGCTTTCATTGAGAGTGCAAAAGGCACAAGATCTCTGCCAACTTGCAAGTTCTTATTCTAAAGCATGGAATTTCTTAAAGAAAGGTCTTCAGAATCTTTTAACATTCCAAAAGAATGCTATTTCTGCTAGCTGCCTTCTTGGGAGCGACTGCAGTATTTTGACTGAAATTTTCCAGGAAGATGCAGGCCAAGGCAGACATATGACACAGATGATCAGGGCTTTTTCACCAGTGTAGGTGATTGAAAACAGGATCTTTAGTAGAGGCACTACTCCAACCTTAATTGAATTGGAAAGTTTTTCTGTCTTTCTATGCAGGTGTATATTACTTAATTCTTCTACTTTTAATAACTGTGCCCCAAAGCTTGTTATTCTATTAAATTTCATCTTACTGTTTTAGTACTTCAGTAAGCAAGAAGTAACATGAGAACACTTGACATTTGCAGTGATGTCTGATCATAGATACATACTCCCCTGTAAGTGCATAACTTGTATTCTTGCTAATGTTTCATACTATTCTTATGTTAATAAAGTAAAAATCCAAGTGAATATGTCTTTTGAATAAATTTAATAAATGAGAAGAATAACATTTTGATTTCTTTGCATTGGAAGTGGATTAAACAAAGATGTAAATAACTTCATCTTTCCTAGCGTTGGATAAGGAAAGTGAAAAATGAGGTGTACTAAATGCCCTTTTCCCCCCTTGATTTTTCATGGATGTTTTAGCTCTAGGCTGTAGTTGTTAAATTGATGTCCTCCAAAGACATTAAATCAACCTCAGAACGTTTGTAAGAATTCCATAACTGTAAACACTAGATCATTTTCCTAACCAAGAACATGGGTTTAAGAGCTTATATTCAAAGGTGTTTTAGAAAACTCATGCTGATCTGATTCATACTCCTCATTGTATCACAAATTAAATTATTGCATTCCTCTCATGGTTCGATTTGAAACCTAGCAGAGGAAACTTAGTTATCACAGTCCTTTTAAGTAAAAATTATTATTATGTGGGAAGAACTCAACTTAATTCTTAGATTGTCAAGCTTTGTGGAAAAATTGTTCATGCTTGCAAAACAGCAAAATTGATGTGGAACTTCGTGATACTTAACAAAGAACTTCCTCTTCCCCACTCTCTTTCAACATTAATATTCTCCTGTTTATTTTTCATTAAAAGCTGAATGACTGCCATTATTTTTCAGTTATCTCACACTGTAAAAGCTTATATTGGAGAAGACTTTTTGATTTGATTTTTACGTTTGTTTATAGCACCTTGCTTCAGAATTGCCATTTTCATGCTTAGCAAGCTAGTTTTACTAAAACATTAGAAATATTTTAATGGAATTTTAATCCACTAAATATACAGGTAACCATGAAATCCTTATTATGCATGGAATCTTTTTTTAGAGACGTCCTGGATTCTGTTAGGCATTTAGAACACACTGTGCTATTTTTATATCCATAATATAATGGATATAATTAATCTTTATATCCATACAGCAATGGAAATCTTTTGAACCTAACCATCCCTGGGAAAAAATGTAAACCTATACGTTGTACTACTTTCCTTCCTCTCCTCCTCCCTCTTTCCCTTTTCCCTCTTATTTTTTTTTTTTTTTTGGTGAAATTAGAAAATCATTCTAAACTCATGAAAATGGTTCTGTCCTCTATCCTCTAACTTTGCAAAGTGTTTTCTGAGCCTGTAGAAAGCTAGTGAGTTTGTTTCTACTGTGATAAACACAACAGAGTATAACAAGCTGGTGTGGCATGTGTTGTTCCGTGTGTGGCTGTGCAAAACATTCAGTGCTCTTCTACCAACGTGAAATATGTGAAACACTTTTAGGGAAAGATATTAAATGTAACAAGTTTCTAATTCTCAGTTATAAAGAATTCTCAGTTATAAAGCTTTGATATTTTTCTCTATATAACCTTATTTGTCTTTCCCTGGACTTGGAATAACAGGAAAGACTGAGTAAGCACAAAGAATTTGGAGACACAAGGAGGACTGAAAACCCGTTCCTTTTGAAAGTACAGATTGAAGACTTGGCAGTGGTATATGGGCCTCTGTTCCTAGACACAGCCTTGAGTTAAGGCATGGCTGATAGGGATTAGGATCAGTAATAATCCTTGTCCTCATTTTGTATAGAGCCATCTAATGAAGACCAACCAGATCACCTAGCATTCGCTGGCACTTAGAGTTTAACTAAGAGGTCTAGGAATGAATGGATGTGGAGTCTGACTGACATCCCCATAGGCCCATATAGTTGAGGTTTTTGCTTGGGTTGTATACTGAAGACAAGGCACAAACCTTTTCTATTCTATACTTCCCAAGTGGCTAAATGAAATATTTTGTCCTCCAGACCTCATGGTGGCATTAACTAAAATAAAAGTATTTTCAGTGTTTGTCCAGTTATTAGTAAAAGCTTATTCCTCTGCTTTATTATTTTCTAGATTATGATGAGCCTTCCAGAAAAGAGGATCTGTCTTATCCTCTCTGCATACTGGGTTTTCCTGTTATCAAAGTGTATTTTAAATGGAACATAAAGACTGAAAAGGAAGCTTTGTCTGTTATTATTTTTTCCAGCATTATAGTGTGGTTTTGTAAATGGTTGAAGAGATTTGCTGGTATTTACTACATGCAGAAGAAGTTGGAACTGAGGAGGAATGTTAACAGAGGATGGAGAGTGCATGTGCATGGTAGACTGTTTCATAATATTTGTCATTTAGGGGAGTCCATCATATAATTTAATGTTATGCAGACTGCAACAGTGATAATGCTGCAGTTTTTTTCATTAAAGTGTTTGAGCTTTAATAGCAAGTGGCTGTGATGATAAGTTCTAGATCTCCTAGGAAACTATAATATGATTCAATAAAGTCTGTCACTCAGTGCAGTCTTGCTTATGGTCTGTTTTTTTTCTGTAGGAATAACACTTGTTTGGGATGGCTATGTGAATAAACCGCTCAAGAAAGTACATACAATGTGTTTAATCATTTATTTGCAATTACTTGTAAAAAACCACATTTATTGAAGCATTTACTATATCAAAGGCACTAAACGGAATTATCTGGGAAAGAGTCCATTATTCACAAAAAACTATTTTTGGAGAAGTTTATGGTCAACGACTCTTTTTTTTTTTTTTTTTTTTTTTTTTTCTCTATAATTTTCACTAGAAATGAAGTTTGAATGTAAAAATTCTAGGGCTCTCTGTTTTTTCTATCCATGGCCTTTGATGAGTGTTTAACCCTAAAATGACATATTCATTTCTGCTTCTCAGTACATGCCTGAAAGATACAATGTCACATAAATTGATGACTTCCCATGGCAGCATGAAAAGGAGCATGTAAAGTTTGTAGCATCCTTCCTGCCTCCATAGGGAACTGCTTCTGCATACTTAGTTTTTCATTCTTGACTCATAACTCTGAACTGCCAGACTGATTATTTAAATTGTAACCGCCAGTTGATGGGCAGAAGGAAGGAAGTTTATATGCCCATATGAATTATTAAATAGCATACCAAGATGTTGCCTTGTAACATTTTGTAAAAATGCCATGATATTCTAAACAGTTGCCTGAAAAGCATATTGAAAATGGATCCATTTGCAAGTTTGTAGACATCTATTTATGGTTATTGCTGATAAATCACAATGAATAATTTACTTGCTGAATTGCACCTTTTTCTTAGTGAAATATCTTCTAAGACCTACAACTTTCTCAGATTAAGATTTTTTTTTACTTAAGAGGTGTTTGTGTGATTTGAGCTGAGTATGGGAACTCCCTTATTGCTGTTTCTGTTCTGAGATTGGATATTTATTACAGAAGTATACATATTGCCATGTAAATTTGAATGACTGTTTTGTGCAGGACAGGAAGGCATACCTTTTATCTCAGGGTATGAGAAAACAGGCAAGTCACGAAGATAATTTTCAGTTGGTTTTCTACTTGGCAAACATCCTTGTGCATGTTCATACCTTGATATACCCAATAGAAAATACAAGATAAATTTAATTTCTTCACTGAGGGATAAGCAACCTCACCCTTTTATGAGCTGAAAACATGCACAGTTACCAAGGAATAACTGGTGAAATTTAGCTTTCTCTGCAGTGAAATGTGCATGTGTCTGTTGTCTGGCTGACAAACTTGCTTCAGAATATAGTACCATCAGGCAATTATGGAACAAATATGGGTAGGAAAAGTTTTTACTTAATCTCCATCAGATGTTATTTATAGAGCTAAGGGGTATCAGTTCTGGGTTTAATTTCGTAATCCCTTGAAGCATGGGGATGCATCCTTTTTATTCAGTTCTCACTAATAAACTTGTATTTCTCCTCATTATCTGTAGATCTCTAACCTGTCTAGTTTCTGGTATGCATACTTGAATGAAGCAAATTAAAAATTCACTTTATGTGTTCATTCATACTGATGAAACTCAATTAAATGAATATTCATGTAAAGCAAATACTAGAAAGAAGTAAATGTAGCCAAGACAAATGTATTTAAACTTTCAAATTTTTTTTTTTTTCCTTTTGCAGTATTTGCTGTCTCTTTTAGAAATCCCAAGAGAACCTATGAGTTATCAGAAAATGGATGACTGAGTACTCTCTAGAGGCAGACTTCAGTTGAGGAAAATTCCAAGTTATGGAGAACAGGTATCAGTGAACATAAACAATAATGCTGCGCGGAGAAGAGAGTTGGGATTACTCAAGGCTCACATAAATACATATGGTAAGTATGGTTTTAAAGTTAAAGGGGCTCCTTTGCGCAGAAAATCTTTGCGTACTGGAGTTTTAAATCATGTCATTTTCATAAGTATCAAATCCAAATCTCAAAGCAAATTTGGTCTGCATAAAGTTCAGCCAGAGGATCTCCTAATAAGTTCAAAGTAAAACTTGACGGAATTATACCTTGATGCAGAAACCTTTAGCATTGTTGTGGCTAACAGTATTTTAGGAACTATATGGAATTTAAATAAAATCATTACAAAGGAAATGAACAGCATGAATTTTGGAAGTCTTTGTTATCTGACAACACTGAAAAGCAGGTGTAAAAAATATGGCTGAGAAGCTAAGGCAGGCATTGCTCAGTGTTTTGGGGCATTTTTTTTGATTTAAACATAAATTAAACTTTTTTGAGGGGGCCAACTGAAAATCAACTTAAGTCAGTTCTGTAAAGAAATACAAATATTTGATGTTTTGTTTGGAACAAGTAATACATTTAAAAATAAAAGATGCTATTTAGAAATATTAGTGTCGTGGTTTGAGCCTACTCAGCAGCTAAACGCCACGCAGCCGGTCACCCACCCTCCCCCCACTTGGGAACGGGGAGGGAATTGGAGGGGCAAAGGGAGACTCACGGGTTGAGATAAAAACAGTTTAATAACAGTAACAGTAATACTATGACAGCAGTATCAATGGGTAATGTCCAATACAGTTGCCCGACACCCGCCTGCTCCCGGCCGGCAATCCCGAACATAAAGGCACCGCAGCCACACCCCCGGAAGTGAGAGCCCCTCCCGGGCCACTCCTGCCTCTATATAGTGAGCGCAATGTCACATGACATGGAGTATCGGCCAATCCGGGCCCAGCCCTCCAGCTGTGCTCCCCCCGCCCCCGCACACAGGTGAGGGCTCTGGGGCCTGGGGAGCCCCTGGGGTCTCAGGGTGCTGCAGCTCCTCCCGCTGCCGAACCAACGGGAACTCTAGTCCAGCCCCAACCAGGACAATTAGAAATTAAGTGTTCAGCATTGTTTTGAAATTTACCTTTTAAAATTTTTTGGACTGATACACACTTTTTCAGTCAAGTCACTGTCCAGTGAGTGGGTTTTTCCAAATTGGTTAAAGTTTGAACCAGGCTGAACTTTACAGCTTTGAATCTTTAGGAATCTTTATGATATGCGCTCCAGTTTCTGTAGATAGACATTTATGTTTTTTGTTGATTGGCATATGAAGGGACAGGTATACTGTTAATAAAAGTTGTACAAAATATTTGCTACTTTTCTAGAGCTGTTACTCATACTCAACATCACAGATCTATGCCTTTCAGTTTGAAAAGCAGTGGCCTATAATCGTGTACTCAGTCAGTGTTCTAAAATAACTTTGTCATCTGTGATCTTTGAAACTTTTATTTATTTTAAAACTCCAGTGGGGCAAACACCTGTTTTAAGCCCCTTGAGCACAGTGAACACAGTCTCTGTTCTCTTTAGCTGTTTTTCATCAGGGCTGGTGTAATATCAAACCAGTGAGACCTAAATGAGATGTGATAATATACAGATGATAAAGTTACTGAGAGTAGAAAGTGCCAGATTATTTTATATCTTGCAGTATTTTATATCACAACTGTCATTTGAAGGTCTAAGGGAATATTTGTTTTCCATTAGGTGCTCATGTTCTATTTGTTTCCTATGGGATACCTATTTGTTTTTTATAATCTGTTTGCATCTGTTATGAAGTGATTATGTATTTAGGGCCTGATTCATGCCAGAGTAAATGAGTAATTATTCTAAAGGTGTCATTGACATTCTGCCAGTGTTGAACTGACATGTGGGAAGAGTACCAAAAAAACCTGTTCTGAAAGGTACAGAGGATGGTCTGCTGCTTTTTGTTACTGAAGAACCTCAGGCTTTTGTACTGGCTTTGTAACAGTCATATATATTTGGAAAACATTTTTTGCCTTATGGTTAGCCATTATAATTAAAATATACAGATAACATTGCAGACTGTATCTCTTGTGTATGCTCTCCTGTGCAACTGCAGCACTTTTACTGGTTTAGATCCCTCTAATGTACAAACATAGGGAGAAGCTGTTATAAGGCAGATCTACCTTAGGATGTCCATTAGCATTTTTCAAAACAGTGTGTCTATTCTTGTGCAATAGGAGGGATATCGATCAACTGCCTAGTAAGTGAAATGGACATAGCTTAATCATGTAAACTTCTGTTTTCCCCGGGGTTTGTGGGTTCTACTGCTGGGAGTCAATGCTGTAATATTTCTCTGCTGTTGACAGAGAAATCAGCATCCTGATTTCTGCATCTTCCAGTTGATTTTTCTAAGTTCTGTACTACAGAGCAGTACACAATTATGGAATTCTTAAGAGATTTTGCTGGATGGGGCTTTGAGCAACTTGGTCTAGTGGAAGGTGTCCCTGCCCATGGCAGAGGGGTTGGAACTAGATGACCTTTAGGGTCCTTTCCAACCCAAACCATTCTGATTCAATGATTCTATTTTATGTTAGTTGTTTTGAGAAGGTAGAGAACCTTCTTACTGCTAAGTGTGTTATCTGCGCAGATGATCTGTTTGTAGATTTCTGAGGAAAAGTCAAATGACAACATGTCAGCTTCTCAGTTCTGGAGAAATTATCCCACATTACCTTGGCAGTGCTAATAGTTTACAATGTTCATGCTCTGTAATGGGCTGTTTGCCTTAAAGGGCTTTGACAGTTTTACTGAACTTAACATGTATTCAGATCTTTCTTCACTACATCACTTGCCCTTTGATTAGGTCACATTTTGATGTGCTTGATCTACTGACTGTGAAACTGCTATATAAATCTTCCTTTATACTTACACATTTCTCAAATATCCACTATATTATTCAGAGATCAAATACCTAATTATTTGCTGCTGAAAGCCATGTATGAACACCTCTCTGTATTTCTGAAATCCTTTGGTGACATCTGCCACAGTAAGTTTACATCCCAAATGAATAGTGCAATGGGAAGTGACTTCATTCCATGGTCTTGTTGAACAGGAGTCTGGCTTTGTGATAAGACAAAAAAGTAAAGGCAGAATGTCTGAGGGGGTGGGGGCGGTCTTCAGTGGCTTTTTTAAGGTTATGCTATTATGGCTGAGGAAGTGAAGATCTAGCTGATAGATTGGCTTGTTTGACTGCATTATATCCAGGTCTGGAACTGAGCACTTGTCATTGATATGAGGTCAAGCAGTACAGTTACTTCTACACCTCTCAGACACAGACCTCCTGAGAGATTGCCTCTGATACTGATTCTTCTTACAATGTCTTCCACTGGAGGAAATAATATTTAGAAGAAAAACCAACACTGGTGTGATGGATGGAGCTTGCTTATACTGTACTGACTATTATCACGATGATAAGTCTTTGTAGAGCTGCAAGGAAGAAATGTGCTTGGTATGTCTTGCATTTGCAAATCTGAGGTTTTCTTCAGGATTTGGATGTCTCTTACAGCTGTCTTCAGGTAGTAGGTGTTGATTATGACAGAGCAGGCCAGCACAATTAGGTGATGAATCATCAGCATCATAATGTCTGTTATTTTAACACCCGTGCACCTGTACTGCTGTCCCTGTATAGAGTTCAAGGCATATAAAAGTTTGGGCAAAGAGAAAAAAACAAAACAAAGAAAATATGTTTAAGAGCAACTACTGTTGAGTAAAATTTCTCTTATGGTGTTTATCAGGTTAATATAGGGCTGGCTCTTCACACACAGAAACATCTGAAGGCTCCCCTGGAGCTGCAGCAAAGTTGCCTGAAGCTGTCGTGACAACACTAAGCTCCAGAGTGGTTCACGTTCTGTTTGCCATTTTGAAGATTATGTTAACTGGATGCCACCGTACTGTGAATATGTATGATCAAAAATAATGTGGCATGAACATACTGCACAACAAAAGGTAATGAATATTTTAATGCTTAAGGAAAGGTTAATGAACAAGATAATGAAAAAATTCTACAACAGAGAGGAAACTGTTTCCCTGAGTCAGTATCTGGGTTCCATGCACAGCTCTTCAGCTGTGTCTTCGGCTGTCCTCCAACTGGCAAAGCTACTTGTGAAACGTAGTTCTTTGTGTTTGAAATGCATATAAAGTCCATATCCAAACTGTTGTATATGCAAGCAGAGCAGCCGAGCATATCAGCCCCATTGTCTGAGCATCTGACAATGCCCATAAAGTATCTTATGAATATGATGCAAATTCTACTCCACCTCTTGTTTGGATCTATGAAGGGGAATTTTCTTAAACTGGGCCTTCAGCCATCAGTGCTCATGTTTGAAAAATGCTAACAGACATTCTGTTTATCACTTGTAATACTTGCCCATATGGCATGTGTTAGGTGTCAGGTGGAAGCATCCTTACTTCTCTGTATCACAGGAAGAAATATTATGAATTTCAACCTGGCTATATTCAGAACCCACTGAGTACATTCATTTGGCCAGAGGGCATCCCATTAAGCAGCATAAGGAAAGTCTCTTGCAATCACTAAAGACTTTTCTTCCTGTAATCCCTGCTGATCCTGGGAATCTGAGGTGGGAACTGAAACCAGATCTTTTTCTGGCTTTGCACAGTTCTGTGACAATGCCTCCAGGGCTGCTAATATATTAGGGAAAAATTCTGCCAAGCTTTTCACAAAGTAACATTTTTTTTTTCATAAATATACCAGCTGGTTTTAATGACAATTGTGAGATACTGTTGCAGAAAGTCATGGTGACAGAATCTTACTTTGTTCATGACTGGCATCTGAATAGCTTTAATTCCAGCTGCTTAGAAAGGAAACAGAAACATCTAAAGCTAGAAATGAATCCGAAAGTTTTTGCACATAAATAAAACACACGTCCACTATCTTCCATGACACTCATAATGATTTGATATTTGCAATACAAGGCAGATCATCCCTGAAAGCTGATGGGTGAATTATTTATCCATATGTCTGTTCACAGTTCTGCACCTGTGTCAGCTTTGATACATACCTAGTCTTGATAGTG